TTGAGACCATATTGTACTTGAATTGCAATAATCCAAACACAAACAGATAATTGAAGTGGTGGACTGAACCAAACCACCAAAGCCAAATTAGTAGGTTTAAAAAATATATATGTAACAATTTTTCGAGATATTACTCACATATCATAACATTTATCCTTTTAAAATAGCTAATTCAGTGTTTTTAGTGTACTGACAGAGTTTTATTACTGTCACTAATATCTAATCCTAGAATATTTTCATTACTCTGAAAAGAAACCCCATTCCCATTGGTAGTCACCATCCCCTCCCAGTCCTCCCTCTCTCTAGATCCTGGCAACCACTTATCTCTCTTCTGTCTCTATGAATTTGCCTATTCTCAACATTTTGTATAAAAGGAATTATACAACATCTAGCTATTTGTGACTAGCCTGTGTCACTTAACAGAATGTTCATCCATGTTGATGCATGTATCACTACTGTATTCCTTTCACTACTAAATAATATTTCACTGTACAAATATACCACATTTTGTTTATCCATTCATCAGTTGAGAGACATTTAGGTTGTTTCCACTTTTTGGGTATTATGAATAATGCTGCTATGGATATTGATGGACAAATTTTTGTGTGGACGTATTTCAAGTTCTCTTGGGTATACAGTTAGGTGTGGAATTGCTAGGTCCTAAAAAGTTAAACTCTATGTTTAACTTTTTCAGGAAGGCAAGTTCCAAAATTTCACATCCTCACCACACTTGTTATTGTCTATCTTTATTATTATAGCCACCCTAATGGTACAAAGTAGTATCTTATTATGTTTTGATTTGTATTCCACCAATGACTAATGTTGATGAGCATCTTTTCATGTGCTTATTGCCCATCTGCACGTCATCTTTGGGAAAATGTCTAATAAAATTAGTTATCTACTTTTAATTATTTGTCTTTGTATTCGTGTTTTATAAGAGTTCTCCATATTTTCTGGATACTAGACCCTTATCATATATTAGATTTGCAATTACTGTCTTCTTTTCTGCGGACTGTCTTTCAAGGTCACAAAGATTGTGCTCTATGCCTCTAAGAGTTTTATAGTTTTAGATTATATATTTAGGTGTCTGATCCATTTGATGTGTTGTGTAAAGTACCAATTCAACTTCATTCTTTTGCATGTAGCTGTCAAATTGTCCCAGTATTATTTGTTGAAGAGATTACTCCCCAGTGAATTGTCTTGGCACATTTATAAAAATTCAATTAATCATAAATGAAAGAGTTTACTTTTCAACTCTCAATTATAATTCATGGATCTGTATTATTTATCCTATGCTAGGACCATACTGTTCAGATTACTGTGGTTGTATAGTGAGTATTGAAACTAGAAAATAAGAGTCCTCCAACTTTCTTCTTCTTTAAAAGATTGTTTTAAGATAGTTTTGGCTATTCTGGATCCCAGTGAATTTTAGCATTGGTTAAGGTTTTGTTAGGAATTGTATTGAATATATAGATCCATGTAGAGAGTATTTCCATATTAACAATATTAAGTCTCCTTATTCATGAATATGGGACATCGTTCCATTTATTTAGGCTTTTTAAATTTCTTTCAATTATGTTTTATAATTTTCAGCGTACAGTCTTATAATTTTGGAGGTTCGATTTATTCCTTAGTATTTTATGTTTTTTGATGTTCAAAGTACTAGGGTTTAGCATCTCTTCTAGCTCTCATGAAGCACTAAAAGGTAAAAAAGGAAGTTCATAAACTTCACATCCTATGCTATATGCCTGTCAGCTTAACTATGTCATATCTAAGCATGTTTATACCAATCCTGAATGTTTATAAAAATCTTAACGAAGAGGGAAATAATATTGACCTATCTTGAGGCAGTAGAACACAGCAAAGTTCAAACTGGAATCAAATAGATTGGTCACGCACAGGCTATAAAATGCTAAAAAATTTGTTCTTCTTCTGTAGCCTCAGCTTTCTCATTTATAAAATTAAGACAATATTTGCCTTGCAAGGTTTTATGTGGATTAGAAACAATACATTTATGGGTCAGGACTTTGTCTTGTTAACTATTATTTCTTTGGCTCCTAAATGAATACCTGGGGCACAAAAGGTGCTTAGTGAATACCCATTAAATGAGTTTTTAAAAAGTATAATGTGGTATCTACCAACAGTAAGGGCTCAGTAAATGACAGCAATAGTTACCATCATCATAAATCATCATCATGAGATTACTGACTTTAGCATAAATAACCCAATGTCCCAATGAAGTACTAAGGAAGCTGAATCATAGTACTACCATACCCTGCATGGATTGTAAATATAAATAAATTTAGCCAGAGGCAATGCAAACTTGGTAAGAGCAAAGGAGAACTTTAACAACTCCAATGTGACATAAACACTGCAGTTCATCTTCAAATTAACTTCTACTTACTCAATATTGTTGAATATGGAAAAGGCTAGAACACATTGTGCCTCATAGGGCAAAATAATCAAGGTTTGACAGAACAGCTGTAAATAAAAAGAAGAAACTACCATGTCTAGTTTATATTGATTATAATAATATATTAACCATGCTAGAAAGTGCTCTAATTTTTTTAAGTGAAATGATCCTTGAGTTACTTTTTCTGTATAGTTCCTTAAGTTCACTTTTTTAAAGTAAGAAACAAAAGTAGAAATGATAAAAATAAAAAGAACCCCACAAATGTGCCGAGCTAGAAACATTCAGTTTCTAGGTTCTTATAATTTCTCAAAACAATAGAAATATTTGTAAAAATAGGAAAATAGAACAAAAATGAATGCTCAAACCAAAATTCAAGTCCACAATATGCAGTCTCTAAAATGCCTTCTGCTGTTTCAACTGACCGCTTTTTAATTTCCTGTAGTTTTATCTTCTAAAAAGATTAAGAAGGAGCTACTGTTTGCATTTAAAACATGGCAATATGACTCTAAAACACTTTAAACTTGGCACTAGTCATTACTAATTGGTTTAAAAGCCATTTTTTCCCACTTCTATTTCATTCCCATAGTTGCAAATCAAAGGAAGATGATCTTTCAGAGAACCCAATAAATAGAAGGTATATAATCCTGCCACTAATACTGCCAAAACCTGTTTCTGTACTTGTAAATGCTTTTTGTTTCACCAAACAAAAGTGGTTGCTTTCATTGAAGAAAAGAATTTAAAAGACATTTCTTAGTATAATAAAAGCAAAAGTCTACTTATAATTACAAATATTTTAAACTTGGAGTCTGAAATGAAATTCCAATTATTGTTATCCTGGTATGCATTTTGCAATAATTTGAAAGTCTTCCTTTTGTCCTTTCAAAAATAATAAAAAATTCAATCTACTTTTTAAATCTTTAAACAATGCATACTTAGTATAAAACAAACAAAAAGTATAAAATAATGTAAAATTATCCCATCCTGAACCCTAGGCCCATAGTCCTCCTCCCCAAAATAAATTAGTTTCTTATTAACAACCTGAAATTTTCCATATGCAGTCAAGTATAATCAATCATACAAACATAATACATACATACATAAAATCATGCACATGTCTCAATTTTTAAACTATCATTTTATGACTATAACAGAGTAACTACAAAGCCTAGGAGCTTAAGCAATGTTGGAGAGCATTTACCAATCCTCTTCTTTTAGACAGTTCAGGAAACTGAAGCCCAATTAGGTAAATTGTCCAAAGCTATTCTTAACCACTTAGAAGCTCTGAAATTTTGTTCTTTCATGATTTTAAAGATATTGCTATCTCAGAAATACCTAATAGAGACAACAAGTTGATGGGTGCAGCAAACCACCATGGTATGTGTATACACATGTAACAAACCTGCACATGTATCTCAGAACTTAAAGTATAATAATAATAATAAATGAAACCAAAAAAAGAATATTGCTATTTCCTAATAGACCTTATAACATCTTTCACACACAGAAAAAAAAAATCAAAAAAACAAAAAAGATTCCTAAAGTTCAGTTTAAAGTAAATATGCTTCAAACTAAAGTTTCTCCAACTATTTCAGTTTCCATCAGGGTGGGAGGGTGTGGTCATCAAGTTTCATCTGATATAACAGTTCTGCCTGGGCAGACTCAACAGCCTATTCACATCTGTATTCTTAAGAAAACTAGTAAAAATAAAGTATAAGCTTTATTAATTTCTCCAACTCCTGTGCAGGCATAGTACAATCATAGATTTTATTTTCTCAGTTGAGTGCCTAAGAATTCAGAGAAACAAGCCCCAACCTGTACCCTGCATAATAAACAAATAACAATATCTCACTAAGTAGCTCAAGAGGTAAAGTTCTTGGTTTCATCAAAAGTGAATGAAATCTATCATGGATTTCTTGTAATCCACTTACAAGAATCATGTGGGCCAATATTCACCCAGTTGGTATGTGAGCAGAGACATGATGTCAACAGTGTCTGGAGATAACCCTATTCCAAAGCCACTGTGTTCAGTGAGATTTCTGCAGTGATGAAAGGTACTTCACTGAATGACTGCTAGTAGAATATGCAATGAAGTGGGGAGATTAGATAACTGAATTTTAAGACACAGAATTCAGTTTTGGTCTCACCATGCCACCCTAGGTCTAAATGCATTGTTTCCCAGTTTACCTGCTCTTTTAATTGGTAATAATATTATTTATTCGTTTGGGGACTTCAGAAACTTCTGACAACAAAGGCCTTGCTCAAGAACCTACCATGCTTTTTTGAGTTCTTAAACAAAACAAAACATGTAGAAGCAGCTGTTTGCCCTCCCTCACATCTTTGCAAGCTTCCATAGAAGCCAGAATCTTTATTCTCTTTTGTCTATTATACTATCATTTACTAATTCTTTAAACCTTTCAAAATCACACAGAAATAGAAACTGCCCCTTAAGCTTGACATGGCACTAAATACTAAAACTTCTGTAGATTGTTAGCAGTAAAAATGCCAAATAAAAATCTCCGGCATACACTCTCACTCTGTGTACATTGTTACCTTGAGTTTCTGGGATGTGTCTCCAACATAAACAGTACTTGTGTCACATTTAAAGAGGTTACCTCAGCCCTTCTGAAACCTGCGACTGGGTAAGTTCTATTCTCTAACACAAACACTGCAAGATGGTGGACCTGGCAAGTCACGACCCTAATACTGAAAAATGCCAACTAATGCTTCTAATAGGAAAAAAAATATTGAACATGCAAAATTCTCTACATTTTTACAGGATTAATTACATTTCTCATGCATAAACCACCTGTCTTTGGAGGGGGTATGTGATCCTAATGTTGTTTTAAAAATTAATTTTTTAAACTGTCTCCTCCTAGTCTGAAGAGGTCTGAAACAGTCAAATATATGTTTTCTTCTTCTTTGTCCCTGAGGGTAGGACATGTTCTTGTTCAGTCTATCCTCTAATGAAATCTGGAGAGACTTCCCTTCCTCAATTTGTACTAACACTTTAAATTAACTTTGCATTCTAGGAAAAAGAAATGAGAAACAGGTGCAGACATAAACATTATAATAAAATAGTCACAGCAACCTACACTATATTCATAAGAGTAATAATTTAGAATCTTAGTTATTGGCATCTAATAATCTAATACTTTTGGTTTTGTTCCTCACCTTCTGGTTGCAAGCCTTTGGGTCACTTCATTTTATGTTTTTTATCATTATACTCTTCATGGCAAGAAGAGAAACACAAACTGAAACTCAATGTGAGAATTTATTTCCTAGTTTCTCACAAAAGGTGTGATAGAAAAAGAGATTGAAACTATTATGGTGACTCCTGAGGTTTTGAATTATACAGGGAATACATTTAATTATTTTATTAATTATGTTTCATAAATCAATAAAGTAAACTGCTATAGTCCACTTATGCAGTATTGAGCTCTAAGCAGCTCAAAAGACATGCATTAGTATGGGGGTTTATATGGTTTGGCTGTGTGTGCACCCAAATCTTTTCTTGTAGTTCCTATAATCCCCATGTGTCATGGGAGGGACCCAGTGGGAAGTAACTGAATCGTGAGAGTGGTTACCACCATGCCGTTCTTGTGATAGTGAGTTCTCACATGATCTGATGGTTTCATAAGGGGCTTTCCCCTTTTTTGTTCATTCTTCTCTCCGCTGCCACCATGTGAAGAAGGACTTGTTTGCTTCCCCTTCCATCACAATTTCCTGAGGCCTCCCCAACTCTGTGGAACTGCGAGTCAAACCTCTTTCCTTTATAAATTACCCACTCTTGGGTATGTCTTTATTAGCAGCATAAAAACAGACTAATATAGTAAACTGGTACCAGTAGAGTGGGGTGCTGCTGAAAGGATACCCAAAAATGTGGAAGCAACTTTGGAAGTGGTAACAGGCAGGGTTGGAAGAGTTTGGAGGGCTCAGAAGAAGCCAGAAAAATGTGGGATATTTGGAACTTTTTAGAGACCTGAAGGGCTCAGAAGACAGGAAGATGTGGGAAAGTTTGAAACTTCCTAGGGAATTGTTGAATGAATGGCTTTGAACAAAATGCTGATAGTGATATGGACAATGAAGTCGAAGTTGAGATGGTTTCAGACAAAGAGGAGGAACTTATTGGGAACTGGAGCAAAGATGACTCTATTTATACTTTAGAAAAGAGACTGGCAGCATTTTGCCCATGCTCTAGAGATCTGAGGAACACTAAACTTGAGAGAGATAGTTTGGAATGGGAATTTATCATTAAAAGGAAAGCAGAGGCTGGGCGTGGTGGCTCACACCTATAATCCCAGCACTTTGGGAGGCCGAGGCGGGTAGATCACAAGGTCAAGAGATCGAGACTATCCTGGTCAACAAGGTGAAACCCCATCTCTACTAAAAATACAAAAATTTGCTGGGCATGGTGGTGCCCACCTGGAGTCCCAGCTACTCGGGAGGCTGAGGCAGGAGAATTGCTTGAACCCAGGAGGCGGAGGTTGTGGTGAGCCGAGATCGCGCCATTGCACTCCAGCCTGGGTAACAAGAGCAAAACTCCGTCTCAAAAAAAAAAGGAAAGCAGAGCATAAAAGTTTTTAAAAATTGCAGCGTGACTATGTGATAGAAAACAAAAACCTATTTTCTGAGGAGAAATTCAAGTGGACTGCAGACATTTGTATAAGTAACAAAGAGTCAAGTATTACTCAACAAGACAATGAGAACATGTCTCTAGGGCATATCAGAGGTCTTCATGGAAGCCTTTCCCATCTCAGGCCCAGAGGCCTAGGAGGGAAAAATGGTTTTGTGGGCCAGGACCAAGGGCCTCCTTGCTCTATGCAGCCTTGGGACATGGTGCTCTGCTGCCCAGCTGCTTCAGCTCCAGCTGTGGTTAAAAAGGGGCAAGGTACAGCTCAGGCCATTGCTTCGTAGAGTGCAAGTCCCAAGCCTTGGCAGCATCCATGTGGTGTTTGTCCTATGGATGCACAGAAGACAAGAATTGGGTTTGGGAACCTCCACCTAGATTTCAGAGGACGTATGGAAACACTTGGATGTCCAGACAGAAGTCTAATGCAGGGGTGGAGCCCTCATAAAGAACCTCTGCTAGGGCCGTGCAGAAGGGTCGGTGTTGAAACAAACCACACATCTCTATTATCTATTATATGATTGACAATAAAGAATAGTGTCCCTACTGGGGCACTGCCTGGTGGAGCTGTGAGAAGGAGGCCACTGTTCTCCAGACCCCAGAATAGTAGCTTGCACAGTGCACCTGGAAAAGCCACAGACACTCAACACCAGCCTGTGAAAGCTGGGAGAGTGGCTGTACCCTGTAAAGCCACAGGGGTGGAGCTGCCCACAGTGGTGGGAGCTTATCTCTTACATCAGTGTGACCTAGATGTGAGACATGGAGTCAAAGGAGATCATTTCAGAACTTTAAGATTTGACTGTCTCACTAGATTTCAGACTTGCATGGGGCCCATGGCCCCTTTGTTTTGACCAATTTCTCCCATCTGAAATGAGTATATTTACCCAATGCCTGTACCCCCATTGTATCTAGGAAATAACTAACTTGTTTTTGATTTTACAGGCTCAGGCAGAAGGGACTTACTTTATCTCAGATGGGACTTTGGACTTGGACTTTTGAATTAATGCTGGAATGAATTAAGACTTTGCAGGACTGCTGGAAGGCCATGATTGTATTTTGAAATGTGATGACATGAGATCTGGTTTTGGCTGTGTGCCACCAAAATCTTATCTTGAATTATAGTTCTCATAATCCCCAAGTGTCATAAGAGGGACCCGGTGGAAGATAATTGAGTCTTGGAGGTGGATACCCCCATGCTGCTGTTCTTGTGATACTCAGTGAGGTGTCACAAGATCGGATGGTTTCCCCCTTTAGCTCATTCTTATCTCTCCTGCTACCATGTAAAGAAGGATGTATTTGTTTCCCTTTCTGCCATGATTGTAAGTTTCCTGAGGCTTACAGCCCTGCAGAACTGTGAGTCAATTAAACCCTGTTTTCTTTATAAATTACTCAGTCTAGTCTCAGGTATGTCTATATTAGTAGGTGAGAACAGACTAATAGAGTGGTCAGGATCTGGGTGGAGTTCCTGCATATATATTTGCTAGCTGAATGCCCCTAAGCCCAAACGGGTTAAATCACTGCTGGCTTAGGGGTATTTATTTACTCTTTGCAAAATAGGGAAGAGGGACATGATCTCTAAGGCTCCATTTATCTAGAAAGTGATGAATTATTTTTAGTTAATTCAATATTCATAGCCTCTTTCAGGTAAGTCAAGCTCAAGTAAAAATTATTCACAGAGAACAAAAGAGTAAAGCACAATGAAAGGATGAGAGACCAGGGTCCATACCCAGTAAATAAGAGGAGTCAAGTACCACCTGACCTCAAGGCAACTCACTGCACACTACACAGGGTCATACTGAAAGGCCATCAATCTTTACTGAAAAAAAGTATGCACTTTGGGCCAGGTGCAGTGGCTCATTCCTGTAATCTCAGCACTTTGGGAGGCTGAAACAGAAAGACTGCTTGAGGCCAGGAGTTCAAGAGCCTGGGCAATATAGTGAGACCCTATCTCTAAAAAAATTTAAATAAATAAAATTAGACACTCAAAATTAAACCTCTGTGCAACAGGTCAGAACTTTTGCATATTCAAAGGCACATGAGTATGCAATCAGACTTATAAAATAGTTGTTAAAGTTACTTATTTTCTAATAAAGAATTCATATTTGACCAGTTTCCTTCTATAGTTGAGGTCTTTGAAAATACACTTCTATCTTCTTCCTTTCCCATCAAGCTCTCCCATATTGACATGGGCAAACTCTAATCTGTACATGAACAAAGTCATGAGACAAGAGTCTGATCAGGAGGAAGTCAAAAAGAACTTCCCCCTCCCTTTGAAATTTTAACTCTTGTCCAAGCACTCCCTCTCACCCCATACTTCTCTCATAAAATGTGTTTATTTATCTTTGATTCTCCTCAAAGGTGCCTGGAGAAGCCTGTCAAGTTAGCTGCCACCTTCCAGATTTAATCAGTTTTCCTCAGTTGTTTGGCAGTTCTAAATGCAGAAACCAAAAACTCTTCTGCTCAACTGGGCTTTCTCAATACAGGCGTTGGCACAGCCCCACACAATTCCATCTAAGCAGAACAACCGCAGCATTAAGTTCCCTCCCATCACAAGGGCCCAGTGTTACTTGGTTTGGTTGTCACTCCACCTGTCAGCTGCCACCAGAGGAAAATGAATTTGCAAATTCACACAGTTTTCTTAGGAATGTTCTTTCTTCTTTTTTTTTCTCTCTTTGGACTCTATAGTCCAGTAGCCTCTATTCTTCAAGGGCATGGTGGCTTATTTAAACATAAATTTTTACAACATAACTGGAAGAGTGCCCTGCTTGCAAATGGAAACTGACACAGAGCAGACTTAACTGCAGCAAGCAGGTGACAGAGCAAGGAGAACAGAATCCAAAATTATTATTTTCTGTGTGTGTGCTACTGAACTAAAAGAATTTAAGAAAGTTTTACTCAGGGTCATAGGTTGGGTTGGGAGGCTGGGAAAAGAAAATCATTAGTATCTATATCTAATTATGGTAAGAGAATTTCACAGACATCTACAACCTAGGTCAAACCTCAAGGACATGAAAACATAAGACATTTGCATACATCCCTAAGCATCATGATTAAATTCAGATAGTTGGGGATATCTCTCCATGACCAGGATCCTGTTGTGTTAAGAGCCTCTAAATAATAAGACTTCATGGGTTCTGTTTCACAAAAAGAGTAGTAAGTGATTAGCAGCTTGGGAGATCAAAGGGATTTTCCCAAGTCAGGGTTTTTCAACTTCATTAAATCTAGCAATTAAAGAAAGGAGGAGTTTTGAATTATGACATAATATTGAAAAAAAAAACAGATTGCATGGTTAAACAATAAACAATGCTGATGTTTAACAACCTTGTCCATTGCTGTCTCCAGAATCCCTAGAACAGAGCCTGGCACATAATAGGAGCACAGAAATGCTGTTCTCTCTGCCCAGAACCACTTCCCCAGCAACACCACCATGGACACAGCACCTCTCTCACTGCATTCAGGTCTCTGCTCAAAGGCTCCCTCTTTAAATATGCCTTGCTTGAGCATATGCTCTAGAATTTCCTCTTCATTTTCTTCCTAACACCGTGATATGGTTTGGCTCTGTGTCCCCACCCAAATCTCACCTTGAATTGTACTCCCATAATTCCCATGTGTTGTGGGAGGGACCTAGTGCACGATAATTTGAATCCATGGAGGGTGTTTCCCCCATACTGCTCTCATGGTAGTGAATAAGTCGCAGGAGATCTGATGGGTTTATCAGGGGTTTCCGCTGGTGCATTGTCCTCATTTTTCCTCTTTCTCCTGCCATGTAAAAAGTGCCTTTCATCTCCCACCATGATTGTGAGGCCTCCCCAGCCATGTGGAATTGTAAGTCAATTAAACCTCTTTTTCTACCTAGTCTTGGGTATGTCTTTATCAGTAGAGTGAAACTGGACTCATATATATGTAATGTTACCCAACATTATATGTCTATTTGTTTACTTTTCAGTTGCCTGGGTAGGTACTGTTTTGTTTGCTACAGTATTGTCAATCTCTTAAACAAAATCTGGCACATATTAGGTACTCAATAAAAGTTACAAAATAAACTATAATAAACTACAGACCTACTCTATTCTGTATTCAGTCATACAGCAATAAACAATCACTGTTTATTCACGGAATTTTGGATACTATGTAGGAGTAAAGAACCTGTATTGATTAAGAGAAAGCCCCTAGATAAGTAAGTCAGTCAGTCATGATAACAGTTTAATATGAAAAGAGTCATGAGGCTGTGCATAAATGGCTATGAGAACAAGGAGGAAAGGCATCTGAATCCAGCTGGCAAAGTGAGTAGATTTCTCTAGGTAAAGCTTTGGTGAGGTGCTCAGCAGAATGAACAGAATGTGGGAGAAAATGGAGCATGCAGCTACGTGATGAAGCAACAAGGACAGCAGACAATGTGGGAGGTAAGACCAGAAAGAGGCAGGGAACTTAGCATGAAAAGCCTTGGTGCTAAACTAAATGAATCCTGGAATGACATATGTTTGTATATCATTTTAAGAATAATTTGCATTTTAAGAATACCATTCTGATAACTTTGTAGAACATGAATTAGAAAAGGTCAGAATAAAGGAAGATACATTTTTCCACTGGTCTAGACAGGAGCAATGAAATGAAGAAAAACCATCCCTGTAGTCATTCATTTATTTTTTCATTTTTTCAATGAAGAATTCTTAGTGCCTGCTTAGGCAAAGTTGTGCAAGGCACCTGGAACAGGTAATAGGCGTAAACATGGGAAAGAACCTGCTTTAAGGCTGTGAACAGATGACAGATAAAGGACTGGGTGACTGATGAAAGGAGTCTAATTTGACTGTTGTGTATATGGTTTGGGTGACTAGTTTACTCGGGAGGAAAATGATATGAGAAGTTTCAGATAGCCTGAAGTACCATTTGAATACCCAGTTAGAGACATCGACTAAGCAAAAGATGGAGAATTCATTATCCTCATAAGAACAAGCAGAAAAAGTCATTCCATTCTATATAAACGCTCAAAGCCTTCTACATGGCACTCCTTAGAGACTCCAAATTTCCCTACTCCTATTCTCAGATAAAAATATATCCAAATTAGTTATATTTCTTTAGGGAAGCAAATGTTCTCATAAAAAATATAAAATTTACACTTTTACTAAAAATGTGAACTTAAGAAAAATAAAAATTACAAGGAGACTAATTTTGAGAAAAAAATCACTCTTTGAAAACTGGCACAAGACAAGGAGGCCCTCTCTCACCACTCCTATTCAACATAGTATTGGAAGTTCTGGCTAGAGCCATCAGGCAAGAGAAAGAAATAAAGGGTATTTGAAAGGTAAGAGAGGGTGCCAAATTGTCCCTGTTCGCAGATGCATCATTGCATATTTAGAAAACCCCATTGTTAAGCTGATAAGCAACTTCAGCAAAGTCTCAGGATAAAAAATCAATGTGCAAAAATCACAAGCATTCCTATACACCAATAACAGACAAAAAGAGAGCCAAATGATGAGTGAATTCCCATTCACAATCACTACAAAGAGAATAAAATACCTAGAAATACAATTAACAAGGAATATGAAGGACCTCTTCAAAGAGAACTACAAACCACTGCTCAAGGAAATAAGAGAGGACACAAACAGATGGAAAAACATTCCATGCTCATGGTTAGGAAGAAGCAATATCGTGAAATGGCCATACTGCACAAAGTAATTTATAGATTCAATGCTATCTCCATCAAGCTACCAACGACTTTCTTCACAGAATTGGAAAAAACCACCTTAAACTTCTTATGGAACCAAAAAAGAGCCCACATAGCAAAGATAATCCTAAGCAAAAAAAAACAAAACAAAAGAAAAAACAAAACTAAAGGCATAATGCTACCTGACTTCAAACTATATTACAAGGCTACTGTAATCAAAACAGCATGGTACTGATACCAAAACAGAGATATAGACCATGGAACAGAATAGAGGCCTCAGAAAGAACGCCACACAACTATAACCATCTAATCTTTGACATATCTGACAAAAACAAGCAACAAGAAAACGATTCTCTATTTAATAAAGAGTGATGGGAAAACTGGCTAGCCATATGCAGAAAGCTGAAACTGAATCCCTTCCTTATACCTTATAGAAAAATTTACTCTAGATGGATTAAAGATTTAAACATGAGGCCTAATACCATAAGAACTCTAGAAGAAAACCTAGGCAATACCATTAAGGACACAGGCATGAGCAAGGACTTCATGACTAAAACACCAAAAGCAATGGCAACAAAAGCCAAAATAAACAAATGGAATCTAATTAAGCTTAAGAACTTCTGCACAGCAAAAGAAACTGTTAATAGAGTAAACCAGAAACCAACAGAATGGGAAAAAATTTTTCCAATCTAACCATCTGACAAAGGGCTAATATCCAGAATC